TTGAAATGTGGCAGGTAGTTTACACACAAGAGGGAGTAATTGTATTGGAAATAACTGTTCATAACCAAATTTTTAAAGCTCATTTTTCTTATCAACTTTTAATAAAGAAAGCAAGATAGTAATGATATTTAGCGTTTGTGCCACCTACAGAAGCACTTTGTCTCTCTAAATAGCTAACGTTTCATTCAACAATTCTAAACCATAACCCTTCAGTTACAAATGCAGCCTGCAGCAAAAAAGGAAAAATCTGAGCAGCAGCCGTCATTTGTTCCTGTTCAATTAAAACAGTAAAAAATGGCTGAACCTCATGCTAAAAGATGCAAACCTTCAATAAACCTGGCATGGTCCTGGAAGGAGAGCACAAGAGTTTGTGTTTGCTGTGGTTATGGAGCACCCCAGCCTCAGCCTGATCAGGCCAGGAGGGAAAGCTCCCCCTCTCTTTGCATCCTAATGAAGATGGGATGAGGCAGGTCGTTGTCTGCCTGTTTCTACATTACATTTCCTTGGAAGTGCATGTACAGATAGCACAAAGCTGCACAATGTCTTCCTTTCAAAGACTACACTGGTGCCCTTGCTTTGGTAGATTCTTAGAAGACAGTTTACCAGGCATTTCAAACCTTGCAAACTGATTAGGGGAAAAGTATTATTTTTCCATTTATTAATGTCTAGAGTTTAGTACAAACTGCCAATACATAGGACAACAGGATGCCACATTCAAACAGGTTCTGTCCCCAAAAGCCTACAATCCAAACCATGGAAACAGCTATGGATAGAAACACCAGGGAAGGGCAAAGGAAAAGCAAAGAATCCTCAGTGTTTTGATGGGCAGACAAGCAGGTGGGTGTTTTCCATTTAAATGCAGCCACAACAGGACACAATTCTTGTCTCTCCTGTTTAGAGCTCTTCCTGCTGCCTAACAGACCAAAAAAGGGTACTAATGGATAATGCTTTAGACTCCTAACACTCTTTAAAATACCAGGCATTGTACACTACCCTTGTGGAAAGAGGTCAATGCACTGCCACTGCCATTATCTGAGTCTTCTGAGCCTTGTACTGTTTAAAATAAGGACATTGGTTTGCTCTGTTTATGCAAGCACATCTTTTATTGTAATATTCAGAAATTAATAGAACAGGAAGCTTTTAAAAAGTGGTTTAAACTTACTAGTAATAGCTGAAATAGAGATCCCTAGCACATCACAGACATACAGCAGAAAAAATGTATGTACTTATATGCACAGTCACGAGCAATCCTACTGCTAAAGAACTACATCACTGGATGCTAATGCGTGTGGACCATAAAAAGGAACGTTGTTAAGAGCTCTGGTTGCAGCCTTGTAATTAGATTGGCATATACAAACCCTCGCAGGGCTCTGCCTGTCTCAGCTGAGCTCTGTGCAGCTTGAGGTTGCGCATTCCGTAGCTTGAGGTTGAGCCCTGTGACAGCAGGATACAGCGCAAGCCTGCGCTGGACCTTCACACTGAGCCACATACACAGCCCACAGGCATTACTGTTTTCTACCCAAACCCACTGTATGCAAACCACATACTTCTGACCAGGTTTGTCCAAGATCTGAATGAAGCAGAGTTCTCTCTACCTATATATCATTAGAAAGCTGAGAGCTGGATGGTGGTTTCTCCCTCAATTAGGTTAGGCCACCTTCAGGCTGCATTTGGGTTTCAAGTGAAATTGGTGGCTTTGGTCCATATTCATTCCGTGGTCTGGCGCAAAAATCAAAGTAAGGTTAAGAGGTAGCAACCTTCACAGAGCTTCCCACAGTCCCAGAGCAGCATAGCCCTGATGTGAATGAACAGGATACGCAAACCAGCTACGCAAACCAGCTGTGGGGGACACAGATGATACTTGAAGCCCCCTCCAGACCTGTTTTCCATACAGTCTGTGCCTGATAAAGGCATTTAAAACAAATTGAGGACCAAAAACTACATCAGAAGTGAATGTGCCAGAGGATACACTAGAGAGTCACTAATTTGCTCCAAGCAAACGCGACACTGCTTTGAAAGCCCCATGTAAAAAGCAACAGCCACACATAAATTTGTTTAAGCCTTAAACATTCAGATAAAAGCAAACCCTAGAATATATTAGTGATGCTTTGCTTACTAAAAGCCACTGTTTAGCAGTTTATGGTTTGATTTTGAAGGATCTGTCTCCTGGTACACAAGGGCAGAGGGGAGAGAAAGCGATGTCAGGGCTTGATGTGGAAGTGGAGTGTATGGATACTGCTATAACATGCTCCACTCCCCATTACCAGCATTTACAACATGCCTGAATTTTTCTTGAGCAAGTTTGCTGTGCTCATTAAAATACTGTGAGCACTTACTGGCTATAATGAGCACTCATTAAATTCTGGTAAGTGCCAGGACTGTTGTGTGGAGTTGAACAGACCCAGGTTCTGGGAGGAGAGCTCAGGGGTGGGAAGATACTGGAAATACTACATTTTCCACAAGAACAGAAATACAAACTCTCCCCTCCTTTTTTGCTCTGAAAGCACTGGGGTAACTCAGACCCATTAAGCAACAGCTATTGCTTACTGACTACTTGAATCATTCTCCTGCCCCAGAAGGACTCTCAGCTCCTCTTATCAGAACAGGAACAAATTAAAGACTTTTTTCCATATTTGCACCTCCTCATTTAAGAACTTTCCTACATTTGTTATTTAGAGATAAAAGTCTGCCTCTGAAAGTTCACTTAGCAAAGTGGTTTTCCCAGCCTCAGGGAACAGCGCAGGAGGGACTGCAGAGCAGGATCCAAAGAGCTAGTGACACTGCAGGAGCAGCAGGAGATGAATGGGTGCATACTGGGGCAAGGATCACATTTTACATGCCTCTTTCTTATATCTATCTCCAATTGGCTGTGTCAGAGACACGCATCCTGACTAGCGTGGCCATGCCTATAACCATAAAGCAGTTCCCACTGCAGGATTCAGTGTTACCATCTGTGTTTTTATCACTAATTGCTGTTCATCACCTAACTTTAGAATATATGAATTTACTAAACCCATATACAAATACACTTTACCCTGGACTAATCCCTAGTGAATCAGAGGGCAAATGACTGTTTAAGGAAACAGAATCGGACAAGATCAGTGCATCCCCCCAAAAGCCAGTGTATATCCTAGTGGGATGGAGAGAGCTGCTGGAAGGAGGTTTCTATCCGTATCTCTAAGATGTATCACAGACATATCTCTACCTTTCTGCAGATGGCCTGAAAAAAGTGATGCATCGAGGAGGCAGTGAGGGAGAAAGGAACAGAGAGGTTCACCTGCCTTCCCAAGCAACTTGTGGAGAGTTGACTGACAACCATTACAAAATAGCATAAAGCATAGGACTGACATATCAAAATTATGTTACTCTAAACTAATAAAGCTACATTTCTGAAGGGTGAGAATCTGAAATCCCATTATTTTGTGCTTGGGCACTGCCTGTACAATGAGCACATGACAGTCTTCTATCACCTCAGCAATATGTATTTTTCAACTACATTTATCTAAAGACCACAGTTCAGTACAAAATGTGTATCAAAATGGCACCAATTTCACAACATTAAATACCTGCTCTGGTTAAGCATTAATTGCTTACCAGTTTGGCTCACTCTTTACCCACTCACAGGAGCTTTTTGTGGATTACTGCTTTATAATTGCTTGCTCCCTAAGTACACAGGCACTGCAATCTTCTGCACACCTTGACAGCATCCTGGTTAGAGAAAATGAATGCTACAGTTCCCCTGACACAGCATTTTGTCTGCTGGATACAGTAAGTCAGAGACTGTTTACTCAACTTCTCATGGCCCATTAATGACATAATGTTGGACACAGCTGTTCAGGACTTCACAAGACCAAAGCAGAGAAAGAAATGCCGGGAGACTTCAAACACACTGCTCACATCAGTGCCTGGCAGGGAAAGCCCTTGAAAGTGGTCTAGGGGAATTTAGCCTTACAGCTCTCCCATGAAGTAAATCCAGGATTAAAGCCTCAAAGTCAGTTTCTCCTGAAGACTCAAATTATCTTAAAATAACTCCATCTGACCAAGGGGGCAGTGACTGATGTGAAGAAGAGGGAAGCAATCATTTAGTTTTCATTCTGCCTGGCTGAAAAACCAGGGCCTGCAATACGTAAAGGCTCACTAGCTCTGGAAGTGGGGAGAGCCTGTTTCATCATGTTCTGACTTCCAGTGTGTTTGAGCCGGAGGGGTGAAGCTCACACTGTAAAAAGACAATTCAAGGTTAAGGCACCCCTTAAGATCTCAAAAAGAGTTTGAACAGAGTTCAAGTGATGCACAGACCACTCTGGGCCCCGAAGGCACAACCTGGCTCAATGCAGTCTACCTCCCAGTACAGCTGCCCAGCATTTTTCTAGGGACTTCTGGAAGGCTAACCCTGGCCAGTGAACCTGTACAGCAAGGGAATGCTGCTGGCAGGACTGATGTGCAGCAACCAGCCATGCACAGTGAGGACAAAGATACGCTTCTCCTAAGTACTGCACCCAGAAAGCCACACTGAAAATGCTATTTTTCTTCATGGAGCTTCTGGAACCACATCATTATGGAAAAATAAAACATGAATCTTCCTTCAGAAAAAGGCAAATCAGGCTTCTCAACTTCCCAGTCATGGACAAAAGCAGAAAAAAATCTAAAAGAAAGGCTTGAACCCATTCCCACATCCTGGTTCAAAATAACCTATTTCATTAATCTTAAAACACTATGGAACTGAAAAGTAGGGGAGGGTGGTGCATATCATTTACATATATACATGTATATATACAGCAGGCAGGAGGAACATGATTTGCAACACTGAGGTGATTCCTCAGTTTGGCAATACTGTAGACATGACCAGCAGAAAAAGAGGATCGCTGGGTGAATTTGTAGTAACGGCTATCCACGGCAACTAAAACACCCCCTTATCGAAGCTCTATCTGAAGTCATGCTCAGAGGAAAGACCACCACCCTCCCTTATCTTCCCCACACCTTCCAGGGTAACCCCTACTTACAATTGTGAAGTTCATAACCTTCAGAATCCAGATGGTCATAGCAAGGTTCACCAGGATTAAAATCATTAGGAGCAGCACAAAGAAATAGAGGCACCTCTTCCTCCAGCCATAAATCCCCACTTTGTATACCTGGGGTCCTTCTGAGGTCTGCATGGTGCTCCGGTGCGCGTACTGTTCCTGAGGCATCTGAAACGATCACAAAGAAATAACCACATGTATTAAATGGCAAGAGAAGGACAATGATAACAACTGTTCGTGTCTGTGCCTCTTAGAAGGTTTTGTTCTTTCTTTTTCAGAGTTGACCAGCTGGGCAGCATCTTTTTCCGTATCTTGGTTCTGCATTATTTTTCTTTCTGCTTACTGTATGCAGTAACATACCAAAAGAGAATTTTATGTGTTAAATGTGTATATATATAGATTTATAAATACATGTATGCACATTGTCTAAAGGTATCCTGTGGGGAAACTCTTGAGTGACACTGCTCATCACCCCAGGTTTTGCAATGGGGCAAGGAAGGATCTTAAGGGGAAAATTTTGCATACATTTGGTAAAAGCAGTTTAGTTCAGCATTTTGTTTTGAAGATGACTATGACTTCTCAGAGACTTTAATTTAATATATATATGTATATGTATCTCAGCTAAAAACATTCCTTCCAGCCAAAGCAAAAAGGCAAAACGCAAATGTTTGCCTTTATCCTGTCCTGCTCTTTCTTAATCTTTCTTAACCAAATAATCCTGAAGCACAAGTTTCTCCAGCTGTCACATCCCTAAAAAATGATTCCTGAATATCTGTGCTGGCTTAACCCTGGATGGGCATGGCACCCTAGAAGAACACTGGGGGCCAAACTCATTGAAAGAGGGAGGGAAGGAAGGAAAGGTGGTGTTGAAGAAATCAGTGCAGCAGCATCTCCAGGAAGAACTGCTTCACAGTCCCACATGGTGAGCTCTGTCCCCCTCCTACACCATGGTATCTGGCTCTGGGCAGTCGGAGATCCAGCTGCCCCCACTATGGATTGGAAGAGATGGGTGCTTTTAAATGGCATTGAAACCAGCTGGGACAGGGGTCCAGAATACAGATACTGCACAATGGCTGTGTGCAAACTTACACATGCACAGGGCATTGTGATTGTGGAGCACACAAATGAAAGTATTCACACTTTGACCCTTCACATTTGCGGTATGGAAAGCCACTTTCATGGGTTTCCCCCAGGCAGTAGTTTCTTACGTTTTCAGACTTTTTTGATACACATGAACTGAGGATATGATCCCATCTCTAATAACACACAGTTTGCCAAATGTTTTGCATTTATACTCTATATAGATAAGGAAGCACCAAACACGTTCTTGCATTACTGATCCAAAACCATGGACTGGCATTGATGTTTGTACATAGTGAATTCCAAAATTCATCTACCAGGAGCAAACAATGCGAATTCCTCTCTGTGGAAGTGTGATCTGTGAGGACACGATGAGACAATGGTAGAAGTTAGATACTCAGTGATAGCAGCTTATATTTGTTTTCTACTAGTTTCCTGGTTTTTTCCTTACTTTTTTTTGTTAATAGGGTCATACTCCAGCATCTAATAAAATTCAACGTGCAGTCAGCAGGCTGATGCAAAGCAAGTTTCTTCATGACATAACTTTTGTTCCAGTAGCATTGCACCAGGGATGAAATTATCACTTTATCTTTGCTGCTCCAGTGCTGAAGCCCATACATTTATACATTTAAGGCAAGGGCTGCCTGAAGAATCAGTTACCTTTTTTTTATCCTTCCATGCTTCGAAAGTTGCTAAGACCTGTGTTTTCTAGTGCTGCCTGGTGTTGTCACCTGCAGCATAGGCCATCAGCCACCTCTCCTTTCTTTTACAAGGCTTCACCCAGGCTGAAACATGCGCTCGGGTACTAAATAAATCCATTCAGGCACTAAATTCTTTTGAGCTCACAGGCATCGACACCTCTCCTGATATGGACCTATAAAGCAAAGCTGACTTAGCAGCCTATTCAGGAAGGCTGTGTTTAGCCCAATTAGACTCACGTGCTCTCAGCCCCACTCCCATTACATGAGCAGCACTCCTCTGGAGGGTGGTGATGCCCATCTGCCTCATTCCCTAATGTCAGCAAACCCTTGCATTCAAAATCCACAGCAGGGGTCAAGAAGATTTTAAAAACAGTAACAAATGAGATATTCTTATCATTTTCCTCTCAGGTTTCTGAAGCATTGCATTTTTAAGGATTTTTCCCCTATATGCTCTAGGTCTACAAAACACCCAGGAGAAAAGCAGGTCAGACTTGTGCAATCAGTGTGGTGCTGCAAAGCAGCACCCACAAGAGAGGCCCTGAGCACCAGCGCTGCCCAACTGCAGGCTGAGCTTCCTCCTTGTAGACGATGATGCTGCCTGTGATTGCTGAACTAAAACTAGAGCAAGGCAAGCCCCAGCAGCCCATCCACGCCTCCAAGCCTGCCTGCTTCTTCCAGCATTTTAGCTCCTCTAAAAAAAGGATCTCACACCCCATACCCCAAACCATGCCTTGTTTACAACCTCAGACTACCCCAACCCCAGCTAATGCTATGAGGATCTACAATGTCAATTGTGCACACAGTCATATCGTGTCTGCACAATATGACAGGAAGAGCCAATGGCTCATAGCAAATAAGCGTGTTCTCTAATACGGGTTGGCTCAGCCAGTTTATCCAATGTGCATTAGAAGTACATCACCACAGAAAGGTGTGTCTGTATCAAAGAGCAGGTTTTGGTAGTGTAAGTGGGCTCACTGTAAAACACTTCTGCTGGTCAGACCAGCTGGGGTATCTCTCTCTACTGTAAATCCACCAAAACCAAGGCAGACATAGGTTTTACTAAGGGGGATTAAAGCAAGTTGGTTACAACAGATCCAGCTCTGTCTGGAGCAGTATTTTTGCTTGCAGATGCCAAGATGGAAAGCTTTGCAGCACGGAGCTCATCAGAGAGAGGAGCTGGGTCACCAACAAATACATGCACTTGAAGAAAAACAGGCCTTTTTACACAGCTACAACTACTCCGATCTGTGCAAAGGGAAAACTTAAACAATACATTACTGAGTTTCCACTACCTGGGGGAAATTATAACCACAAGTACTGTACAGGCAAGGATTTTATTGCCTAATATTTTAACAAGGAATCCTGGAGAGCACATATTAAATGCAGCCTCTCCCTTGGAGAAAATGAATAAATTGCATTGCTAACCTTCTCAAATTGTGGAAGACATTTGACCAATGAAAAACAACATGAAATACCCAGCTCAAAATATCTCTTATTGCAAAACTTGCTTATTCTCTTGCTCTTTCTCCTTTTCTTTTTTTTCTCCTTTTTTTTTCTCCTTACTTGCAGTCTCTAGGATGGAGAAAATAGCATATCCAGCTGGGGCAAATGTTTGTAGATACTAAAAGAATTTATAGGAACAGAAAATAACCAAAAAGAGCAACTTGCGTTCACACAGCAGCCTCATTTTGATAATTTCTCTGGTTCTGATGAAATATTTAGCTCAAAGCTGCTTTAGCAGAGATTGAGCAACTAAAATACTACAACATGCATGATGAACATGACTTAGTAACACGGCATAATTTGATAACAAGAAAACATGAGAATTGTAGATAGGATGTTCTTTCTATAGAAACTTTCACACAGCTAAATGTAAAGCTGTGTATGATTTCTACACACTCTTTCCCCTCAAAATGTCAATATCAAAACAAAACGCTCTTGTCTGTAGTTCTCAAGGAAGGAAGACAGAATGATGGACAGAGTGTGCTAGGGTGCGTTAAATAAATGAGTAGAATAAGCAGGCAACCCCACAAGGAGCCAGCTATATCCACTACCAATAATCTACTCTGTGTGGGAGGGAAATGTATGCTAGCCATAAATTACATTCTGGTCATTTTGCTAAGTTCTCCTGACTCAAACATTAAAAAGAGCTAAGGCACCATAAAAGTACTGCTGTGAAAGGGCACCCAGCAGTTGCATGCATAAGGTAACCCCCCTTTTTCAATTACTGAGCTGAGGGGAAATGCTGACAGTTGCTTAATATAGCTTTGTTTCTTCTTCTGTAATGAAAATATTATGAACAAGTGCCTAATTTCATGATAGTGGTGAAAACATAATAGCGAAATAAATACAGAAATTGGAAAGAGAAGCGTTCCCTTCAAAAGGCAAATCTGAAAGTGTCTGCCTCACATGAGGGGGCTTAAAGACACACATGCACAGCACTGGACCACCATCAGCACATGTACAGTCCCATTTACAGTACAAGAAATGCAGTATGCCAAATCTTAGCAGTTTAGCCACAGACAACATTACCATGACTACAAATGTATAGCCTGGAACCCGGGTAATTCTCTAAGGAATTCTTGCTGCTGAAGAAAAAAATGGGTAATAAGGTTTTGCACAAGAGCTGTACACTGAATCCTTATATATGAACACTGCAAACAAGGCCTGATACAAAATCCAGTCTGCTTAGAAAAGCTATTCATCGTTTCACTTTAGGGTACCTTAGAGATATGGTCCGTAACAAGAAAGATTTACTTGGGTTTTTGTAAGACCACTGGAAGAGTCATGTCACTACGTCCTCTGATCCACACAGGCTGCTCTCAGAGTACTTCTGGCAAAGAAGCTTCTGCGCTTCCCTTTAGCAAAGCTGAAACCAGGCTCAGCTGAAAGGCATCACAAATCAGAACTGGCACTGAGCTTCCAAAAATCGCATCAGATACCATGAGTTATGGCAAATCTTTATTGCATGCCTCTCCCCATTCCACCAAGTCCTTCTGCCCTGGCAGAAAGCTTCTGACTCAGGGCACACAACCTAGATCAATGATTCATCAGGCAGAATAAGTGATTTATATGCATACAGATGGATAAACACCTTCCCCTTGCAGACACCCAGAGCTGTAACATCCCCTGGCCACGCTGGCTTTGTAGGCTCAATGAAGACTATGAACAGGGTGAAGCATAACAAGAGGAATCAGTAATATTTCTGTGCCACAAGGGTGTCTTTGATCAGTACTTAAATGATGTATGTTTAGTAATAGAACAATTTTAAGCTGAAAGGGGATGCAATATGGGAATGCAGCTTCTCTCTTTTAAGCCCACTTGAAATTTGCTGTCAAAAATGCCCTAGAGCTCATTGAAACTGGTCACTACAACACAGACCAAAAG